AATGAGGTATCACCTCATACCAGTCAGAATGGCCATCATCAAAAAGTCTACAAACAATAAATGCTGGAGAGGGTGTGGAGAAGAGAGAACCCTCTTGCAATGTTGGTGGGAATGTAAATTGATACAACCACTGTGGAAAACAGTATGGAGGTTCCTTAAAAAACAAAAAATAGAACAACCGTATGACCCAGCAATTCCTCTACCGGGCATATACCCTGAGAAAACCATAATTAAAAAAGAGACAGGTACCCCAATGTTCATTGCAGCACTATTTACAACAGCCAGGACATGGAAACAACCTAACTGTCCAACAATAGATGAATGGATAGAGATGATGTGGTACATATATATACTGGAATATTACTCAGAGATAAAAAGTAACGAAATTGGGGGGCTTCCCTGGTGGCGCAGTGGTTGAGAGTCCGCCTGCCGATGCAGGGGACACGGGTTCGTGCCCCAGTCCGGGAGGATCCCACATGCCGCGGAGCGGCTGGGCCTGTGAGCCATGGTCGCTGAGCCTGCACGTCTGGAGCCTGTGCTCCACAACGGGAGAGACCACAACAGTGAGAGGCCCCCATACCGCAAAAAAAAAAAAAAATAGTAACGAAATTGGGTCATTTTTAGAGATGTGGATGGACCTAGAGTCTGTCATACAGAATGAAGTAAGTCAAAAAGAAAAAAAACAAATATCATATATTAACACATATATATATGTGGAATCTAGAAAAATGGTACAGATGAACCTATTTTCAGGGTAGGAACAGAAGCGCAGAGGTTGAGAACGGACGTGTGGATGCAGTGGGGGAAGGGGAGGGTGGGAAGAATTGGGAGATTAGGTTTGACATAAACACACTACCATGTGTAAAATAGATAGCTAGTAGGAACCTGCTGTATAGCACAGGGAGCTCAGCTCGGTGTTCTGTGATGACCTAGATGGGTGGGATGGGGCAGGGGGAGGGAGGTCAAAGATAGAGGGAATATATTTATACATATAGCTGATTCACTTGACTATACACCAGAAACTAACAAAACACTGTAAAGCAAGTATACTCCAATAAAAAAATTATTTGATAAAAAAAATGTTAATTCCATCCCCCCCCCAAAATAGTTTAAAGACATAAATATAAGACATGAAAGCATAAAACTCCTAGATGAGAACACAGGCAAAACATAGTCTGACATGAAATATAGCAATGTTTTCTTAGGTCAATCTTCCAAGGCAGAAGAAATAAAAGCAATAAACAAATGGCACCTAATCAAACTTATAAGCTTTTGCACAGCAAAGGAAACCATAAGCAAAAGGAAACGACAACCTATATACTGGGAGAAAATATTCGCAAACAATGCAACTGACAAGGGCTTAATTTCCAAAATACACCAACAGCTCATACAACTCAATATCAAAAAGCCAAACAACCCAATCCAAAACTGAGAAGACCTAAATAGTCATTTCTCCAAAGAAGACATACACATGGCAAACAGGCACATGAAAAGAAGCTCAACATCACCAATTATTAGAGAAACGCAAATCAAAACTACAATGAGGTACCACCTCACACCAGTCGGGATGGCCATCATCATTTACAAATAATAAATGCTGGAGACTTCAATTAAAAAAAAAAAAAAGAACTCCAATAAATGCTGGAGAGGTGTGTGGATAAAAGGGAACGCTCCTACACTATTGGTGGGAATATCAATTGGTGCAGCCACTATGGAGAACAGCATGGAAGTTCCTTAAAAAACTAAAAGTAGAGTTAGCATATGATTCAGCATCCCACTCCTGGGCATATATCCAGGGGAAATTCTAATTTGGAAAGATACACGCACCCCTACGTTCAAAGCAGCACTATTCACAACAGCCAAGACGTGGAAGCAACCTAAACGTCCATCAACAGAGGAATGGATAAAGAAGATGTAGTGTATATATACAATGGAATATTACTCAGTCATAAAAGAGAATGAGATGATGCCATTTGCAGAAACATGGATGGACCTAGAGATTATCATACTAAGTGAAGTAAGTCAGAGAAAGACAAATATATGATATCACTCATTTGTGGAATCTAAAAGAAAAAAAAGATACAAATGAACTTATTTACGAAACAGAAACACATTCACTAACATAGAAAACAAACTTTATGGTTACCAAAGGGGAAGGGGTGAAGGGATAAATTAGGAGTTTGTGATGAACAGATACACATACATTATATATATATAATAATATACATTATTATATAGTAATATATAAAATAGATAAACAACAAGGTCCTACTGTATAGCACATGGAGCTATATTCAATATCTTGTAATAATCTATAATGGAAAAAAATCTAAAAAAGTGTATATATGTAAAACTGAATCACTTTGCTGTATATATGAAACTAACATGACATTACCGATCAACTATACTTCAATAAAACAAAACAAATAACAGAAAAAAATGTTTACAGCAACAACCTACAAAATATAAAAAACGTAGGATTTAAATTCGTGTGTAAGACCTATATGAAAAAAATGCAAATATTTACTAAAAAAAGAAAAGCTATAATTTAAACTGAACTTGTTCCTGAATTGGAAGAATCAGTTTTGCAGAGATATAACTTCTTTCTCAATTTGAAAACTATTTAAGCGTAATTCCAATCAAAATGATCATAAAACTAATCTGGGGGCTTCCCTGGTGGCACAGTAGTTAAGAATCCCCCTGACAATGCAGGGGACACGGGTTCGAGCCCTTGTCCGGGAAGATACCTCGTGCCGTGGAGCAACTAAGCCCTTGCGCCACAACTACTGAGCCTGTGTGCCACAACTACTAAAGCCCATGTGCCTAGAGCCCGTGCTCTGCAACAAGAGAAGCCACTGCAATGAGAAGCCCACACCACAACAAGAGTAGCCCCCACTCATCACAACTAGAGAAAGCCCGCACACAGCAACGAAGACCCAACGCAGCCAAAAATAAAAAACAAAACCTCATCTGGACTAATAAACTTATAAAAATAGTCAAAATATTCTTAAAAACCAAAGAATTTTGAGTTATAATTATCAGGTGTTATAACCTCTAGTAATTAAGACATTAAAATGGCAAATTAAAGCATGATTTCATTTCATTTCTCCCGCAATTTTTTTTTCAAGATGAATATAAAAAAATAAATAAGTCCACAAAGACAGCAACAGAGATTTTTCTTTTGTCTTCATCATCTTGGGAAGTAATCTGGGATTTTGAGAGGTCATTTTACATGTATAACTACCATTTATAGAATGATTACTCCATGCCAGGTGCTGTATTTTGCATCTTACACATATAACTTCATTTGATCCATACAACCTTACAGTGTATTATCTGGTATTATCTGCATCAGCCATTTGAAAAAATGTTGTGAGAAATTAAATAGAGTAGTAACTGATTTCACAGGGCAGAGGAAGCAAACCAGTTTGCCCCAGAAAACCCAGGAGGGGCTCAGAACTGACCTGGTATAATGGATGATGTAGATAACGTTCCATATAACAAAGATAGGTTGAAAGACTGCATGCAGGAGCCATAAATCCCTCCTCCTACACATCTCCACATCTCTACTCACAAGACATTCTCTGCATTAAGTTAAAAGGAGACATCCAGGGCCCAGGACACCAGGTGCAGTTGTGGGCATGAGTGAGAGCTGAAAAGAGAATTCGCTGGAAGTCTGTTTTGGGAACACGGTCACTTCCAGCCCCCTTTTGCTGTCACATGTGCAAAGTATTAACAGCCGGAAGAACCACAGGATCTTCTGGAGAGCAATGCAGCACCAAACAAAGGACTCAGTCTCAAGACTGATACATAGGATAACTACCCAAACAGACAGCTTTCTACCCAGCGATTCAAGAGTGAAGTTCCCCATAACATTTAAATATGAAAGAACATCCAAGGATCAAATGGAAAGGCCCTGGAGAGAAGAAGTAAATCTAAGGTAACAAGAAAAAGAGATCTTGGTTCCGTGAAACAGATACTGCCCAGAAAATAATATTTAAAAGAATTTTTTTCTAGAGGGATAAAGGGCATCCAGAAATAAACATAGTATTTTAATGAAAAAGAAATAATCAGGGAACAAGAAATAGGTCTTGGAAATTCGAGTTTTGACAGTTGAAATTAAAAATTCAATAGATGGCTGGAATTTACATAGGCAAGGAAATGTCTCAGAAACAGAAAAAGCAGCTTGGGAGACTCACAAAAAATTGCAGAAAAAGATATAAGACAGAGATTCAGTTCAAGGTAACTGGATTTCCAGGATAATTGGACTTCCAGAAAGAGATAAACTGAAGGGTGGGAGAACATTATAATTTGTATAAAAAGTAATAAAATAAATTTTCCCAGATTTGAGAGATCCATCATGTACCCAGTACAATAAATTTAAAAAGCTAAACAACAGGCACATGTTCTTCCAATTCCAGTATATCAGAGACAAAGATTACAAGAGCCCCAAGGAGTATGAGGACACAGGTTCTGAGTAAAAGGAGAATCAGAGTTGCACTGGGCATCCAAATAGCAACAGTAGATGTAACTCTGGTATAAACGCTGGTAACCTTGCTACCTCTCTACTCCTCCTCTGAGAAAGCAAACAAAACAATGAGGAAAAATAACAAATAAGTAACCAAATAAAGATTCTTTTTAAATGCCCCACTTTCTCAGCAAATAGGTGACAGAAAAAATCTGCAAAACTCTAAAGAAACACGGACTTGCCTGGTGGCAACGGTGGTTAAGAATCCGCCTGCCAATGTAGGGGACACAGGTTCAAGCCCTGGTCCGGGAAGATCCCACATGCCACGAAGCAACTAAGCCCGTGCACCACAACTACTAAGTCTGCGCTCTAGAGCCTGCGAGACCCACTGCTGAGCCCGCGTGCCTAGAGCCCGTGCTCTGCAACAAGAGAAGCCACTGCAATAAGAAGCCCGCACACCGCAACAAAGAGTAAGCTCCCTGCTCGCTGCAACTAAAGGAAGCCTGCGTACAGCAACGAGGACCCAACACAGCCAAAAAGAAATATAAATAAATAAAATAAAAACTCTAAAGAAACGCAGTTAAAATTAAACAGAAAATGCAAAGGAAATGTCAATGGGCCTCATGAGTGGCAGATCTCAGAAAGTACCAGGCAAGTATACTTCCTGAAAGGCAGAAACTCCTCCAGAAATGCAAAATCTAGAATCTGTAAATCTAACAACTGAGGGGGGAGGTGAGCTGAGCTTCAGCAGAAGTCAGATGCAGAGAGAACAGGCACAGAGAGTATTTGGAGGGCTCCCGGCAGCAGATCTCAGAAAGGTCCAGCAAAAACATACCCCCTGAGGTGCAGGGCTCATCTGGAAGAGCAGGGGCTCTGTCCTCTGTCTGCTGTGCTGGTGAAGGACCTGGGGATGCAGGACCAGTGACAAGTCCTCTCCGACTGAGCCTGGGTCAGACGACAGAGGAAGCAGGGCTACACAAAACATTCCTCAGAAGAGCCACAGCAGCCAGAGTCAGTGGTCTCTGTGAAGCAAAGAGGGCCCCTCCTACCATCCACAAACCCAGATGCAAATAGCTGAGCTGGGAAAAACCAAGTCATTAAGAAACAAGTGTTCATGAAAGGCTATGGCACAGCATCGGTAAGTGATTTTATAAGAAAAAATGTGGGAAAGAGCTGCAAAATTGTCAAACGCAAGAAAGCCATTCACAGAAAAACATTGCCATAGAACAGATGAAAACACTGAGTGCACATTCCAGCACAGGGTAGAACTCTCTGTGAGACTGTCATCTCCACGGAGGATGCAGAACACAGGGCAGGAACTCAGATGTTAATAAATTTTTCTTTGGCACTTTTGTTGCACTAACTATAGACTTAGGAAGTCCTTTTCCTTTAGAGAACATAAAAATATCCACCACTGTTTACTTTTCTGTTATGGCTTCACTTTTAGCTCTTTACTCCATCTTTAATTTTTTTCTGGAATTTGGTTTGAGGCAGGAATAGACTTAAATTTTTTCAGTATACCTATTTTATTTTGGGATGGGGAAATGCGTATTTCCAAGAAACGATATTGCATGCTCATGGGCCTGCTAGAAATTCTCTGGTTTGATGCGTCACTTGTACTGAGGGTGGAATCTACTTGCAGCTTCTTCACGAGTTTGTGCTCCGATCAGCACAGCCCAGCGATGTCATGGGTGTCTCCCAGCCTGTCACTGCACCTGTCCTTGTGCTCACTGCCAGGGAGGCTGCAGAGTCTCCAACAAGATCCAACGTTAAGACTTACAACTGAAGGTGCTTTTGTTTCAGGTAACTGTAAAACCCATAAAAAGCAAATTTAAAAAAACAGGGCAAATTTATGGCAGTTTTATAATACTTTTAATAGTTACATGTTATTTTTATATCTATTTTTATATTAGTAGATATCTACTATATCTACTTTTGCTCAAAAATGCAAATTATTAGTAACTATTATTCATGAGGAGAATTGAGAACTGTATAATTTATTCAGAGGAATTCCACCATAGAAACTAAAGTATTTTAGATATATTTTTATCTCAAGTGACATTAAAAAAAAAGTATTACAGAAGTTTTAAAACACAAAGTAAAATGAACCCCCAGTACACCCATACATAACCATCATCTTTAAAAAGTTATCAACTATTCTGTCATTCTTCAAGTCACATTTATTGATTGCTTGTTAAGTTTCTGGAAAATGTCCAAGCCTCCCTTACCTCATTTAAAGCTAACAAACCCAACGAACGAGGTTGTGGCAGAATTAGTGTGAAGCTAACAGTTTACTTGCATTGGATACCTTCCAACAAAGGGGCCCTAGAAATATGTTCACATGGTTATGTTTTTGTAGAATTTGCAAAAATCACACATTTTAACCATTAAGAGCGCTGTCTCTTTCCACTTCAACTGCTCCTTTGTGCCTTCTCCTGCTCCTCCACAAAGTGGCAGTGAGCACTTCTAAGATTTTATTAAGGGTTGACTGGGATATACTTTTGTGTTTTGTAATCTCTTCCATGTGTAATTAATTACGTTATTGCTGGCCATCTCAGTTTGGGATGTCTTCTAGAAATACTCTGAATGTGGTCAACTTGAAGAATATTTAAGAGCACTCACTCTGTAGAAAATTTAAAATGCACCAAAATCTTACAGCTCAGATTTCAAAGAAACTCAATAGAAGTTTCCTCAAATTTGACAACAATCAAAAAAAATTACACTGTATTACTAACAAACGGTTGAGAATTTGAAAGAAACCTCTGTAAACTGTCAAAAATAAAAAGCAAATTTCCATCAACTATGTTAAAAGATACTCAAAATGAGCTTCCTATTACTCCTATTGCTATAGAAAAGTATATTACAAAGTTGTCAAATGAAAAGACAATATGTATGCTTATCTTGGCCTAAATAATATTTCAAATTGCATCTAATACTGTATTCATAGTTTTGTGGGGGTTTTCTTAAACAGCTTGCCAAATTCAATAAGCAATAAGCCCCACAAAACCTGGAACCATTTATGAGGTTAGTATATTATCCTTGTTGAAAGATCAGGTCTTCAAGGTCATGTAGATATTAAAAGGCAGAACATGACTTAAAATCACAGTTTCAATAGTAGTAAATACAAAAAACGATATGGCTAAGTGTTGGTTATCTGTTCATGACTCTGTGATTATGGCAATTCATTTAACCTCTTGGAACTTCAGTTTCGCTGTGTACAAAAAAGAGATCCTATTAGATCATCTTTAAGTCGTCCCTTCAAGACTAGACCAATGACAGCTACCTTGAACTCAGTACTGGGTGGAGGACACAGTCTATCACAGGGCATGGGGCATGGGTTGCTAGGCTCTTGGACACGTTAAAATTTGTAGAAATTTGGTGATTTTTTGGTTTATATTCTTTCCTAATAATGACTATAGGAAAACAGCCAGCCCCACCCCCCCACCAAAAGGAATATATAGGGGTAAAGAAGTGTAATTACACTTAGGGTTCTGTTGAGTTAACCAGCCTAGAAGAGAAAAAAATACAGCCGTATACTACTGGGCAGTGCTGTATTTGACTAACTCATGAAGTATGTCTAGATGAGGGTTTTTTCTTTTTTAATTGAATTTATTTTTGAGATAATTTAGATTCACATGCAGTTGTAAGGATTTCAATACCCAGAGACACCATGTATCTTCTTCTCAGTGTTCCCTTGGTGAATCTTGCAAAACTATAGTACAATATCACAACCAGGATACTGAGTGACAGTCAAGATACAGAATATTTCCATCACCACAGATCCCTACCACTGTCCTTTTACAGTCACACTCACTTCCCTGACATCCTCACCACCAATCCTTAACCTCCTTAACTCCTTAATCTTAAGAATTTTGTCATTTCAAGAATGTTATACAAATGGAATCCTACGATACGTAATCCTCTGAGATTGACTTCTGTCACTCAGAATTAAGTTGTTTTAAATAACAAAAATCTGTTCCTCCTTACTGCTGAGTAGTACTCTATGCTCTGGAAGCACCACAGCACTCTTGTGCATGTGGATGTTTGGTGGTTTCAGCACCATCTGTTGAAAAGACTACCCTTTCTTTGTTGAATTGCTTTTGCTCCTGTCAAAGGTCAGCTGATTGTATGTTTGTGGATCCATTTCTGGGTCCTGTGTTCTGTTCCATTATCTATTTGCCCACTCTGTCACTACCAAACTGTCATTTTTGGTGAGTCATGAAGCTGGGTAGTCACTCCTCCAACTTTGCTCTTTTTCTTCAATACGGTGTTGGCTATTCTGGGTCTTTGCTTTGCCATATAAACTTTAGAATCAGTTTGTTGATATCCACAAAGTAACCTGCTAGAATTCTCATCTGGATTACACTGAATCTACAAATCAAACTGGAAGAACTGATATCTTAACAATATTGAGTCTTGCTATCCATGAACCCAGAATATCTCTCTACTTACTTAGATCTTCTTGGATTTCTTTCTTCAGAATTTTAGTTCTCCTCATACATTTCTGTACACAATTTTTCCTTACATATATATTTCCTAACACATATATTCCCTTACACATATTTTGTTGGATTTATACCTAAATATTTCTTGTAGAAAACACACAGTTGGTTCTTACTTTTTTTAATCTACTCGACAATCTCTTTTAATTAGTATATTTTGACCATTCACATTTAAAGCGACTATTGGGGGAATTCACTGGTGGTCCAGTGGTTAGGACCCTGTACTCCCACTGCAGGGGGCCCAGGTTCAATCCCTGGTTGGGGAACTAGGATCCCGCAAGCCGTGTGGTGTGGCCAAAAATAAAAATAAAGTGACTATTGGTATAGACAGATTAACATATACTACATTTGTAACTTTTCTACATGTTACCTTGTTCTTCCTTCTTTTTTTTGTTTTTTAAAAAAATATTTATTTCATTTATTTTTTTGGCTGCGTTGGGTCTTCGTTGCAGCATGCAGGCTTCTCTCTAGTTGAAGTGTGCAGGCTTTCTCTCTCTAGTTGTGGTGCAGGCTCCAAAGCACGTGGGCTCTGTAGTCTGCGGCTCGTGGGCTCTCTCGTTGAGGCGGGCGAGCTCAGTAGTTGTGACGTGTGGGCTTAGCTGCCCCACAGCACGAGGGATCTTAGTTCCCCAACCAGATATCAAAACTGTGTCCCAGTCACTGGAAGGCAGATTCTTTATCACTGGACCACCAGGAAGTCCCCTTTTTTTTGTTTTTGCTTTTGTTTTTGTTTTCCAATCTTTTCTCCCTTCTCTGGTTTTAATTGAGCATTTTATATGATCCTATTTTATCTTCTTAGCATATCAATTATACTTTAAAAATTTTTTAAAAATATTTTAGTGGTTTCTCTTAGTGTTTGCAACATATATTTACAACAAATCTAAGTCCACTTTCAAACAACACAATACTGCTTCATGCTTACCCTTTTTACTTACTATATTTTCTTCCTTCCTGATGTTCCCAGATTCCTCCTTTAATCGTTTGTTTACAGAACTTCCCTTAAACGTTCATTTTAGCATTGGTCTGTTGATGACAAATTTCCTTAGTTTTCCTTCACCTGAGAATGTTTTGATTTCTCCTTCATTCCTGAAAGATATTTTCACCAGATAATCTATGTTGACAGTTCTGTCAGTATTTGAAAAATGTTGTGCCTCTTTCTGGCCTCTTCTGTTTTTCTCTATATGTAAGGTGCCTTTCTTCCTCAGTGCTGTCAAGACTTCTGTCTTTAGTTTTACAAAATCTGACTTTGTAACTGGTGTGTATTTCTTAAATACACTCAGCTTCTTGAATTGAGATTTGTCTTTGCTCAATGGGGAAAGTTTTCAGACAATGTATCTTACTTTTCTAGCCCTGCCCTCCTCCTTTCCTTCTGGTTCTCTGATGACATGAATATTAGCTTCTTTGTTATAGTCCCACAGGTACCTGTGGCTGGATTCTTTTTTGCCCCAGTCTATTTCCTCTCTTGTTCAGATTGTGTAATTTCTATTGTTTACCTTCAACTTCACTGATTCCTTCCTCTGTCCCATCCATTCCTCTCTTGAGCCAATCCATTAAGTTTTTTATTTTGGTTATTGTATTTTTCATTACTAAAATTTCCATTTGGTTCTTTATATCTTCTACTTCTTTGCTGAGACTTCCTCTTTTTTGTGCGGAGACATTCTATGTTTTCATTCATTTCAAAAACACGTCTTAATTTCTTGTTGAAGCTTTAAAATCTGTGTCAGATAATTCTAGCATCTATGGCAGCTCAGTGTTGGTATCTATTGTCTTTTTCACTCAAGATATTCCTGGTTCTAGGAATGACATGTGACTTTTTATTGAAACAGACATAGACATATTGGTTATTATATTATGAGACTCTAGATCACAAACTTTCTGCTTCAGTTGGTTTCCGCTGACACCACTTTAGGAGCAGAAAGGGGGATGTTGTTTGTTGCCTGGTTACTACCAGGTAGTAAAGAAGTCCAAGCTCCCTAGTTAGTTTCTGTTAATACCTGAAGTTGGGGGAAGGGGCTCCTTAATGCTGAGCAAAGGTAAACGTCATGACTCTCCATTAGGCCTCCTCTGACATCAGCCCAGTGGGATGGGATTCAGGTCAGTGGTACTTCATTATAAGCTGGCAAAGGTGGAAGTCCAGGCTCCCCACTTGGCCTCTGGTGGTTTGGGTGAAGCTGCAGTGTTCTCTGTGGTATTTGGCTGAAGCAGAGAGGTTATTGTGTAAAATAATATGTTTTCTGTCTTGCTAACCTGCCCCTCCCTGATCTTTTGAAGAGAAGACAGGCTTTTTGCAGGGCTTTCTTGTCTGCATCCATTGGCATTTCCAGGTTGCTAGCTTCTTCAGCTCCAAGCCTGGGATATGAGGCAAATAGAAAACTCAGGGAACTCACCATTCTATCATTCTGTGAGTTCTAACATTCATAGCTGGTCTGCCTTCTCTCCATCTTTCAGTCTTCTTATGTTTATAAACAATGTTCAGGGTTTCCAGTACATAGCAGGAGGAATCCCAAAGTACATTCCCCACCCATTTACCCTCAACTTTTGATTTTATATCTATCTCCTCTAGACACACATTATTGGGTCTTGCTATTTATTCATTTTGGTTCATCTCTGCCTTATTAACTGGTGTGTTTAGACCATTATTTATTTTTTTTATAAATTTATTTATTTTTGGTTGCGTTGGGTCTTCGTTGCCACGTGTGGGCCTTCTCTAGTTGTGGCGACCGGGGCTACTCTTCATTGTGGTGTGAGGGCTTTCCATTGCAGTGGCTTCTTGTGTTTCGGAGCACAGGCTCTAGGTGTGCGGGCCTCAGTAGTTGTGGCATGTGGGCTCAGCAGCTGTGGCTCACAGGCTCTAGAATGCAAGCTCAGCAGTTGTGGCACACAGGCTTAGTTGCTCTGTGGCGTAAGGGATCCTCCCGGACCAGGGCTCAAACCCGTGTCCCATGCATTGGCAGGCAGATTCCTAACCACTGCACCACCAGGGAAGTCCAGACCATTATTATTTAATGTAATTATTGCTATGGCTATATTTAAACATAATTGTAAGTTTTGTTTGTACTCACTGTTTTGTTCTTCTGTACCTTTACCTGCCTTTTAAAAAAACATTTAAACATTTTTAAAACTTCCATTTTATTTATATTTTTTAGTTATACAATCTTTTCTTTTTATGTAGTTAATATTGTACCACTTCATGTAATACATAGAAACTTTGCAACCATATACTTCACTATACCTAACCCCTACTATTTTATGCTCTAGTTCAGCGGTCCCCAACCTTTTTGGCACCAGGAACCGGTTTTGTGGAAAACAATTTTTCCACGTTGGCGGGGGGTGGGGGGGGTGTATTGTGTGTGTGTTGGGGGGTGGTTCAGGCGGTAATGCAAGCAATGGGGAGTGGCAAATGAAGCTTTGCTCGCTCACCCGCCGCTCATGTCCTGCTGTGCGGCCCAGTTCATAACAGGCTACGGACCAGTATCAGTCCATGGCCCAGGGGTTGGGGACCCCTGCTCTACTTGTCATGTGTCTAGTACAAATGACAAAATAATGTTACAACTTTTGCTTTCTTTTAAAGAAATCAACAAGAAAAAATGGTATTTTATATTTGCCTATTTAACCATTCCCATGCTTTTTGGTCAAATCGGCACCACTTCTCAAAACTTGAGGATTACCAAAGTGCACCATTTTCCTCTAATGTGGATGAATATAAATTTTATATTAAGACTGTTCCTCACCTTCCTCATTAACTCATGACAAGTAAAGAAATATCACTTGGCACCAACATGCTTGTAAATTAAAACACAAACTTAAGCAATAAACCAGGTAGCAGTACTGATTATAAGGTAAGTTGGTTATAAGATGTTTTTGTTTTTCACACTACCAATTGCAATTTTTAAAAAATGCTTAATATAAAAATCTTGTTGAAAATTCTCTGTCCAAACCCTGAAATCTCTACAATATTAAAAAAACAGGAAATATTTTCAACTCATTTTTAAGAGTACCTCAATTTCTCTTCAAAGTAAACATGAAAGGTTATATAAGGCGTAACTATATACCTGAAATTTAAAACAGAAGAGTATCTTATTTCCCTTAGAAGTTCACTGGGAAATAGGAAAATTTGGAGATGTAAACAATTCATAAAAATGAACTGATATGTAGGAAATGTCCAATACTATGCAAGCATTTACTGAGCTTCTACTATGTGCTAGTCATTGCTAATAACCAGGGTTATAGACTCTTTTCAAGAAACTCACTACCTAGTAGGGGAAAATGACAAAAAAAATGAACTCTTACTATAAGGAAACCAGAAAGGTTGAACTTTACTATCTTGAAGAAAGTGGGGAACTAGTGAAGGATTTTCAGTAGGGGAGAAAAATGGTAAACCTCACAGACTGGCTAAACTACCATCCACTCCCCTTGCCCCCCTTGCTTACCTTTATTACAGAAGCTAGGAAAGGTAAAAATTCACATTCCAAGCCTCTACTGCAATGAGGGATGGCCACATTGATATAGTTCTTGCCAGTGAAATGCAAATCTACTTGAAAAGCCTTCTGGCAAACCTTTTGATTTTTTGATATCCAGGGCTTGTTCCAACCCTTGCCTTCTTGCCTTAAATCCAGCATGTGTAAAACTGTGCCAGTCATGCTATAACCCTAACGGAAAGGCCAAAATCATCCCAGGTAACATAGCAATGATACCACTGAGCTACTCAAGCAAAGCCTGAAGCCATCTCCAGATTTCTTGTTATTCAAAATGATAAGTCCATTCAAGTGATTTAGTTGGGTTTTCTGTCATGAGTCTGAATGTCTTCTTGACCAATAAAAGTTATAAGAATAAATGTGTATTTCAGAATAGCCATTTCTGAGTTACTGTGGAGGATGGAAGGGACAAGGAAGGGACAAGAATGAAGGTAGTGAGACTTGTTATTAAGTTATTATTGTACTCTAAGCAAGAGAAACAAGGGCAGTGATGATAGCGAGGAAAATATAGATTCAGAGATATTTAAAAGGTGAGAGAGAAAAGGCAAGATAAAGAAAAGGTTTCAAATATCTTCTAAGTTTCAAGTTTGAGAAACTAGGTGGATAGTCATGCCATTCTCCAAAACACATATGGTGAGGCATAAGTTCAGCTTTGGACATATTCAGCTTGGATACCTATGGGACAACACGTGAAAATGATAAGGCAGTTGACTATGGATCTTGAAGTCAAGAGTGAGGTCTGGATTAGAGAAACCCAGATTTGAGAGTACCATCAGATACAGAGTACTGTCCAACAGAATTATAATGTAATTCTAATTACATATGTAATTCTAAAGTTAAAATAAATAGATGGATTTAATTTTAATATTTTATTTAACTCAGTTTTTCCAAAATATTATTTCAACATGTTATCAATATAGTTATTAATGGGGATGATTTACATGCTAAGTCTTTAAAATCTGATGTGTATTTTATACTTAAAGCTCATCTCAATTAATCTGAATGCCTTTTTCATCACAAATACTTGATCTATACATAAATTTCATAAAACTTACAGTTGAAAAAAGTAGATTCACATACCCATACTGTTCCAAACACATTTAAGTTTGCCAGTACCTGAAAGAAAATTTTTCCTTTACTTTTTAAATCCACACTGGAAAAATCCTGTTTATCTGTTTTAAAAAAATTGATTTGCCTTCAGAGCAAAAGCACAGCAGTTTGAAAACTACATTTGTCCAAGTTAAGTAAATTCAATAAATCTTGTGTCAGCTCAGTATTGCTAACACTGAACTGAGAGTTACTGAGTAAATTGAAAAGCAACTCTAAACTTATCAATAAGTAACATTTTTCAAATTTTTCTTGTAGTTTTTGTAGTAAATTTACCTGTCAAAAACAGTTAAAATCTTATGCATACCAATTCATATTAGAAAGATGTGTGAAGTTATTCTGACTTTTATTTTTTAAAGTTTCAATTTCAAAATAAATTCTAGAGGCTTCCCTAGTGGCGCAGTTGTTAAGAATCCGTCTGCCAATGCAGGGAACACGGGTTGGAGCCCTGGTCCAAGAAGATCCCATGTGCCGCAGAGCAACAAAGCCCACGTGCCTAGAGCCCGTGCTCCCCAACAAGAGAAGCCACCGCAATGAGAAGCCCACGCACTGCAATGAAGAGTAAGTAGCTCCCGCTCACTGCAACTAGAGAAAGCCCGCGCACAGCAATGTAGATCAAATGCAGCCAAAGATAAATAAATAAATAAATATTTAAAAATTTTTTAAATAAATAAATAAATTCTAGTACTTGTCTAGGTAGCACAAGTAGGCTTTTTCCCTTACTTGGAGCTTCAAATTTAGATCATTCATATTCTGTTTAATACTGAGCAGAAAACAAACGGCCCAATTTTCTCTTTGATTATTTAAATATTTGGCTAGCATTTCTGTTGTTGCAAGAACATCTTGAACTGGTGTTAACGGTACAGTTAAGTTTTGTAGAACTTTTCCACAATTCAACCAACTGGCAGAGTACACAAATCACTAAATTCATTGTCTTTTCATTTGTTCAGCAATCCTGTAAGCTGATGTTGACTCATATCACTTAACACGTAACAACTGTACCCATGACAGCATCATAGAGATCATTTCGGAAAACTGAGCACAAGTACTCTCAAACTGTACCACACAGTGGAATGAAGAAATAGGGGAAACACCAAGCTCATTTAAAAATTCCAGTGAAATCTGACTTTTGACCTAACCTAGCTGGAATGCCATTTATTGTGACAAGAAGTACTTTTTTCTCATCTAGATGAAACTCTTTCGATAATTTAAAGATTAAAATATAGCTATACAGGTCATGAATTGAAATTATTTCTTTGTAAATTTTTAAGTCCTATGAGACAAAACGCAATCCAAGTATTACTTGGACAGCACATTTTCTATTACATAACTCATCTAAAGCTAAAGAAAAGTACTTGTAATTTTTCAGATTTTGAATCAATTAATCTTTAATATTGTTAAAAGTTCCTGTATTCTACAAGCAACATTTGGTGACAACTGAAGACTCTGTACTTTTTTTATAAGATGTTTTTAGGCTTTAACTCATAAATTTCTAACAATTTCTATAACTGAAATAATGAACTTTACTCTCCATCTATCTAAAACTAATTCTTTTTCATGCAAGAATCCAAGCTGTTTTATATCTGGCCAAACTTAACAAACTCAATCCTTTTAAAAGGTGTTCAAAAAAATTCTGTTGGACATTTCATTGTGATTTCAGGCGACTAAATTTCAATTCTTTTTTGACTTTTGAAAGGTAACTTCATTCACCCATTCATTATGCATTTGCTGGAACTGTCTCAATATTGTTACTTTACTGTCTTATTTTTTGTTAAATTATAGCTTGTTTTTCTCTGCCACAACAAACTGCAATCGTCATTCACTGTGAAATCTGCAACATACCTTCTTCCAGTCTTTGTTTACTGTCCCAGTTGTAGGACTAGCTTCTGCAGTTCTACTTGCTGCTTTTTCAGTATGCCTTCATTTTAAAATTTAAAGTTCGTTCATATTCATGTCTAAACTAGAAAAATAGTAAGTAAAACAAGTATATCAATTATCAACTATGATTTACAGAAGTAATCACTGTAATTCCTGTTGTCAGCATAAAACATTCAGATAAATACATTATGTTACATTGATTCATAGTAAAAAATAATTTACATTGAATCCAACACCAACTCAATCAGTGATGTTTATATATAATACCAGACATAGCACGTGGAGTCTGACAAGCACATTCCAACAATCACACCTTAAGCAAGATAACAAAATTAAATGTATTTTTAAAAAAAACAAATAAGTTGAGTTCAACAAAAATATTTCACACTGCTTTAGTTTTTATGTTTAATTAAAATTAATTTAAAAATCTACTTTCTTAGTCCTACTGAACTCATTTCAAATGCTTAATAGCCACATGGTCCTAGTGGTTACCATATTAGATAGTGCAGATCTGGAAATGAGAAAGACAAAAGTCACAAGGCTTGCAGTTTTTATTCCATTTCTCTTTTATTTGATATAACTTCCAGGGCTCAGAAGTTATTTGGGTTATATTACTCTTTCGTATCCTCACAAAAAAATAAAACAAAGCAAAAATGGAATTGTTGGATGTTCTGTATAGGATTCCCTGAAATATGTATTTGGCTCACTCTAGCAGACATGGACCAACCTCTAAAAACCCATTGCTCCTAAAAACAATCAACTTTATCTCTTTGGAGAATGCCTTTTAAACAGCAACGTGCTGAATAATGTTTAACAACTGGCTTTTGAAATAAAAATGTATGCATTTAAAAGATGTGCAGCATACAATTTACAAATGATAAAATCATATACAATACTCTTTTCTCTTTGGCCGCACCACACGGCTTGCAGGACCTTAGTTCCTTGACCAGGCATTGAACCCAGGCCACGGCAGTGAAAGCGCCAAGACCTAACCAGGGAATTCCCACACAATACTCTTTCTTGTACGTTCCATATAGCCAACTGATTCTCATAGACTTTTGTTGACTTTTGTCAAACTCTTGTATCTGTAGCTAATCTGTGATTGCAATTTGACCAGGATTTTACAAAGGGAGTTGCATCCCAATCACCTAACTCTTTTCCCAACAAACTTATAGTCATTAAATCTGATATATGACCTACTGTTAAACTATTTCTCACCCTTGTACAAATTATGTTCATTAAACTGAAACCTCTTTCAGCTTCAGCACTATTGACTGCAATGGTGCTATCTTTTAGCTTTTTGTACGGTTGTAGGAATTGAAACATTGACTTTACATTATTATTTACAAATTCCCGAAAATCATTCAAATCAACTTCGAATTTTAAAATTTCACACAAATGAAATAATTTTTTTTCACCAGTTATCCATGGTGAAGTTATTTCTTCATAAGGCCATGTAGAAGGTTCTAGCAAATCAAAATAATTAAAAATACTTTCATCATGGTTCCTGTCAGATAAAAGACCTAAGTTCATGTGTTGAATTATATTTTCTAGTAACATGTTCCTAGGAAGGGCATTAAATTTATTATTTTTATTAAATGGAATATCTTTAAACTTATCTGACTTAATCAAACCTTCAATTTGAGATTCATGCTTTCCAGCACCAATTTTTAAATTTTCCAAGGCTTTTATGGTACGTTTGATCGATTTTTGTGCTTTCTGAATGTTAGCTGAGCTTGACTGTAATGCAGTTGAAAGTAGTGAAAATTCTTCAAGAATGTCAATCATTAAAGCAAGGTCTTGCAAGAAATTAATGTTAGCTAATCTCTTTGCCAAACCAGAATGAAAATGAGAAAAATGCATATATAATACAGGATATGCACGCCATACAGCAGTAGCAGCTTGTAAACTACATGCCGCCCATTTTGGTCCCATTATCCGGCCAATTTTAACAATTTCAGTTTCAAGATCTTTAGCTACATTTTCTAAAAGCTTGTTTAGATTTTTATTAGATTGATGATAATTAGAATAAATTTTATGGAGAAATATTTTTAAATGATTCACCTGTTTTATTTCAGATATTGAATCATCAAGGGACAAGTGCAATCGATGGTTTAAAACAGTTCCAAATAATGATTTCAGGAAAATTTTCTAACAACTTTGTAGCTACTCCAGACTTTCTTCCCAGCACTGTATTAGCACCATCAGAACAAAATGCAATTAAATTTGCTTTCAAATATTCATTAGTGAAACCACAATCATTTAAAGTACTCAATAATGTATTGAAAATACACTCTGCTGTGGTTGACACCAATTCTTTCAAAGCAACAAATAACATAACGGGTGCAGGAACCGATTGAACTGTGCACCGGAGATAAATCACGAAGGTCCTTTTCTTTGAAACTGTGGATGCCTCATCAATTACAATACAGATTTTGGCATTTTCTTCTATAATATTCTTAAATATCGTCATCTTCATTTCTTTTGCAATATGCTTTGCTATTCTTGTTGCACCGTATCGTGTATTTAAACAACTGACCTCTCCATTTTTCTCTTGTAATTCCATTGCCCCTTCAATATCAGATAAAGGTCTATTATGTTTTATTAAACTATAAACAGTATTGAAAACTTTCACAGTAGCATCAATATTTTTATTACTTTGTTTATGCACTAAATTAGAAACTGAGTCATTAATTGATTCCTTTAACAAATCCTGAATTTTACCATGGGCTTTAGAAACATCATGTTCCCTAATTTTTTTTCGCAGGGAAGCTTGTCTAGTAGTTTTATTACTGCCATTAGGGGTTACTAAATATGCAATCCACTCCTTGGACACATGGACATGCTTTACTGCTTTCAATCCCAAATGCTGAACTGTTGAGCAATCCTTACATCCTAATTTACCTTCTTTTATTTCAAGCCATTTGTACTGTTCTGTAAACATAAATGCTTGCTTTTCATTCCAACAATCTGAAAGCACAAGATTATCCATTTCTTCCTTTGATGAACATGATGGCTTTTCTTCAATGATTGGTTGTTCAACATATTTGAAATTTGATTCCTTAGACTTAGACAATCCACAATAGTTTTTGTTCCTATTGTTACTTTCTGTGCCTGTTTTCACTTTCTTCGCATTTAAAAAATGCAATAAATCACCCTGTCGTTTTGGCATTTTAGGGAACAAAATCTGAAAAATAATTTTACATATGTAAGTAAAAGTCACGATAACACTTTTAGGGTTAATGTAAAAACTTCTGTTAATGATTTCTTTATATAATTTTAGAAATTAATTTTAAACTAGAATACTTACCTTGATTTTCAGTTTATACCTATAATTTCAATATGACTTGCTATTTCTTGAAAAATGCACTATCAGTTTTTTAAATTCTATAGCCAATAATAAGGTCACAAAATCTGACTGAACTTTTGATGATCACCCAATTCAACAGAAAAGTTGCTCATATGATTTACAAGTATAGTTCTAGTGTGAAGAGTGGTTGATACTTTCATTTACATTATTAAGAAAAATGTAAAAAAAGATGTATATCAGAACTCCACTCATTCATCAATGATAACATCAACATCTTTGTTGAATCAATGAAGAGTTTTCAAATACTGCAAGATTTCCTCAATGTTTTGTATAGCATAGAGCCTAGTAGTTAGAGACATGTTTTCAGGCTTAATCTGCATTAACATTTCATCCATCACTTCCTTCAGTTTAGACAATCAACAAATAATAAATCACGCCCTGCTCTGTACAATCGTTTGCCAATTACCTTGCTGTAAACACTTCCATCTTCCTTCAGGAGCACATTGTTATACCATATTCCTACCACACAGTACAACAGATATAAATAACCTCAAGTGTGTAGATATTAGGGTATGAAGAGTTTTGAGCATCTATTACCTTAAACATGATAATCTATTTACCTTTAAGTTTTTATATACTTCAATTTTTAAATTGATGTATAGTTGATTTACAACGTTATGTTAGTTTCTGGTGTACAGCAAAGTGATTCAGTTATATATATTCTTTTTCACATTCTTTTCCATTATAGGTTATTACAAAATACAGTAGGACCTTGTTGTTTATCCACTTCATATACAGTAGTTTGTATCTGCAAATTCCTAACTCCTAATTCATCCCTCCCCTATCTTTCCCCTTCGGTAACCATAAATTTGTTTTCTATATCTGTGAGTCTGTTTCTGTTTTGTAAATAAGTCCATTTGTATCATATTTTAGATTCCATATATAAGTGGTATCATATGGTGTTTGTCTTTCTCCTTCTGACTTACTTCACTTAGTATGATAATCTCTAGGTCTATCCATGTTGCTGCAAATGGCATTATTTCATTCTTTCTTATGGCTGAATTATACTTGAATTTTTAATAATGGCTATGTTTAACAATCAGCTCAAATTTAACAAACAATTCTTGCAAGCCAGTTCAAGCCACCTCCAGCACATACTGCACTTAATGACACAACTGAAGAAACACAAATATAATATACTTACATCACTATGATAGGTGCTACGCTCTTTATCATCACCACAGATCAGATCAATGTATTCAAGAACAGGTCTTGATGGTCCCTCCTAAAAAGGAAGTCAGCAAATTTACAAGTCATTAACAATCATTCAAACCAAATGTGCCTTTACAATCACTAGGGGTTTTTTGGTTGGAATTAGCAAGAATTCCTGTGAAGAGGTGGCCTCACCCGTGGTGCAAAATAATCAGAAACAGAACCAGCAGAGGTAAAGATTCAGAGAAGACCAATATGCAATGACGACAAAACCCAAAAAGAGCCTAAACCTATATAGAGGAAAAAAGCCATGTACTCCTTTGGAAACGGGAAATAGACCAGGGATAATGTTAAAAAGACACAGATATCACGGTACAGTATTTTTTAACTGGGATGGTTATCAATAATCTTTTACATATCTAAGCTCAAAAGCATGGAGTTCTTTGATATCTCTGCTTCATCCTCCATACCCTTACGCAACCAAATATCAAATCTCTTCAATCTTTTCTTTACACACATACTACCTTCAACATAGACCAGGCCTTAAATACCCGAGTTGAAAACCTAGATTTTATTTTACAGGCAAAGGAATCAACTAGTAGTGTTCAGACGGGAACCACATTAAAGCTGTGCTTCAAGAAGATTAGGAGACAGGACTTACCTAAGACTCCATGCTCCCAATGTAGGGGGCCCAGGTTCAATCCCTAGTCAGGGAACTAGATCCCACATGCCATAACTAAAGATCCCATGTGCCTCAACTAAAGATCCTGTGTGCCACAACAAAAAAAAGATCCCGCAGGCCACAACGAAGATCCCACATGCTGCAAAGAAGATCCCGCATGATGCAACTAAGACCCAGCACAGCCAAATAAACAAATATTTAAAAAAATAAAAAATAAACTTGAACTGCTAATTATTTTTAAAAAAAAAGAAGAAGAAGTAGATTAAGAGCGTATGAAATGTGGGATGATCAGTTAAGAAGAAAACCAATGCAGACAAATGGTAATTTAATACTAAAGTAGAGTGAGGGCAAGGAGAATAATGAGCAAGTGCCCTCTTCTGTATGTACACTGCACTTCAGGAAAATTTACACCAAAGATAAGAGCTCTTTCTGTACTCCCCAATTTTCATCATTCCTTTCTTTCAGCATATTGTGTTTAGTTTGGGGCTTATGTTTATGGCAGCATACAAAGAGGATGCTGTGCCATAATGCAGACTGAGGCTGGAAAATAAGATTTATACGAAAAAACTAAGGAATCCAAACCAGAATACATCAAGTAGTAACATTCTTGATAAAAGATATAAAAAGAACACAAAAATTTTTTTGTATCTGAGAACCCTCAAGCAGAGCATTGTACCCAGTAGCATTTCATCTTTTTTGGATGGTACTATAAGAAACATAGTAATAAACACATCCTGATGGAACCCAGCATAGGATGGGGTGAGAGGAAGTAAATTCTGATCTGAATGTAGTTTAAAGGAGAATTAAATGATCATTTTTATGTGGCACCATTTAAATGCAACAGGAATATTTTTACTAGATTCTTTTCGTACTGCAATTCCACTCAGTGCATATAATTCATTTCTTATTGAGCTGTCAAATCTTCAATCCTCTAATTGTAAACAAGGCTATTTCTAAGAGGTTCTATCAAGCTGGATGTACACTACTCTGGATGCAAAGGTACAAAAAATTCTCTATATTTAAAATAAAATGTAAATTAAGATGTCTAAACCTCACCTTAACACAAGCTAATATTAATATTAACTCAGTCAGAATTTATAACATGATTATGCATTTAATCCTGAGAGTATGACACAAAATTACACCCATTTATTTCTCCAACCTTAATTTTGTAGAATCCTACTGTGTTTCTCAAAATAAGGCACACAAATCATAAACACTTGTGTCACGCCTAGCTAGAGCTGCACAAAACACCATCAAGGTCATCGTATCCTATTCATTGTCTTTATACCACGGTCAGGAAGAACCTAAATTATTTTTCGTAATGACCCCTGCAATCCTCTTTCCAAATGTTTTTCAGTACAAAAACAGACATCATGGCTCTTCAATTTCCACACCTACATCACTTACTCCTCACCACATGGGGAGGCAAAGTCAGCATACAATCCTTCTTGGTATCCCCAAATTTATAAAAGTTCACGTGTCAAGAAAAAAGTACCACATGCACTATTGTGGCGAAGAATGTCAAGGAAATGATCTTGATCTTTTAAAGAATTTCTATATAACCCTACTAGAACATAAAAACAATGTTACCACAACCTTTAGGGAGGGAATTTTGTTTGATTTAAAAACAAGTCATTTGCAAGAGGAAGGAGATATGGGGATATATGTGTATGTATAGCTGATTCACTTTGTTATAAAGCAGAAACTAACACACCATTGTAAAGCAATTATACTCCAATAAAGATGTCAAAAAAAACTGAAAAAAAATATAAAAAAAAAACAAGTCAATTACATGGTTGCCATAAACCTACAGTAACTAAGAAACACACAAATATTAAACAGGCAAACCTTTAAAAAAGATTATACACCTTTAACAGCAAACCTCAACTAACTACAATATTCAAAAAGAGTCGTTCACAGTAGAAATATTCTCTAGCTAACTAAGATACTACTTTAAGCAGAGCCTTTGTAAAACTTTAACAGTGTGGGGTGGAAATTATCCTCAATGTATCATAGCACCCCCTTCAGTTTTTGCAACCAATATTTTATAAAGTGTGTTCACAGCTTCATACACCCCTGCACCAACATGAAGATTCCTGGGCCCCACCTCCCATTTCTGATTCCATAGGTCTGGAGTGAGGCCCAGGAATCCACACACTTCTACTTACTAATGCTTGAAAACTACTGTCCGAAGGGAATAAAAACAGAAAAATACAGGATGCTCCTGGTGATACGGGCCCTTCATTGTGAACCTCGCCTGCTGGACTGTGCTGTAAACAGGATGAGCTCGGAGCTTAGTGAAGTCTTCAAGCCACCCGCCTTCACGTTATGGAGACACACAGGCTCAGAAGTTGAGTTCCTGCAGCCCTTCTGGTTTTCTACCTCATTCCTCATCACTAGCCGCCCCTTCTCCCTAACCTGTGTGCTATCTTTTAGAAGTTACTCTTGTCTCATTTCAAAACACTCTTAGGAGACCACAACCCTGCGTACATGAAAGGCTCTAAGTGCAGGGGGAGAGGCGAGATTCAGGGTACAACACGCACCGCAGGCCACAGGCTTTGTGATGCCTACTGGGGCTGCTCAGACACCTTTTCAGGCAAATTCCCTACTCCTATGCCCTACTCCACAGCGTACAGTCTCTATCAGACATTCACACACGTTTGTTGCATGAAGAACAAACAGGTGAGAGGTAATCACATCACGGCTTATCACGCATAGCCTCTGACTCGGAAAAACCCGAATATCGTCGCTACTTACACTAACAAACTGAATGTCATCTTCATTTTCCTCGGGTGTTGACTCGGACGCCTCAGGCCCAGCTGGAGGGACACATTCTATTATCTATAAAATAAGCCAAAACACGGTTATCTAGACAACCCCGCACTTACAGAAGATTTTTCCTAAGGGAACGAAGAACGAAAGCTCTCGCGGAGACCTAACGGAGCCCCAGCCTCCGCGAGCCCGAGCTCGCGTCCGTGGACCGCAGGGGCCCCTCCGCGTCCCTTCTCTCCGAGGAGCAGGGAGCACGCTTCCCCCAAGAGGCAGTCGGCCTCGGAATCCACGCCGCGCCCGCGCCGAGCAGCGGTCCCCGAGCCGGGCGGCCACTGTTGCTGCGGGGCCCTCTCCCCCAGGCCCACTAGGTCCCCAGGCCCCAGACTCTAGGCCCCAAACTCTAGGCCTCCAGACCCCCAAGCCCCTAGTCCGCCAGGCCCCAGATCCCAAGTCCCCCAGGCCCAGGGCCCCAGACCCCCTGGTCTCCTAGGCCCCAGACCCCCTAAGCTCCCCAGGCCCCCTAAGCCCCCCAGACCCCAGGTACAGCCCAGCACCCCCCGGACTCTGCACAAGGCCGGGCCCAGCCCGCTACTCACCTCCGACCCTGGGTCTTCCATCTCCCCGCCGCCGCCTCCGCCACCGGCGGTAGAAAGGGCTGCAAACCGCTTCCCCTGAACAGCGGCCCAGTAGGCCCGTGGGGCCTGGCCTCCCTCCCAGAGTTCCGCACACCCTCGCCCGCCGCGCGGGCCGCTGGGAAATGTAGTTCCGGCCGCGCCGAGACCGCTCCGCGCGCGGAGGAGCGCGGGAAGACTGAGCTACTGCGCATGCGCTCCTCGAGAAGCTTCTGCTGCTCAAGTGGAGTCATTAGGTGACCTTTCTTTCCCAACTTCTCTGTTTTCTGTTTTAGAACAAAATTGTGGCTTATATAATAGATCAGTGGTGTTAAAATGCTTACTAGTGAAATCGTGACCAACCGTTTTCTTTAAAAAACACACGAACGATTGTGAACAGATAAAATGTGTGAAAACAGGTATTATCTGAGGACATGTAAAGCTTTTTCTCCTTTCCCCATCAGCCTAAGATCACCTGTAGTCCGACGAACCTGTATTCCCACAGAATCACCTTTATGATTCTGACCCTGGCCTGCAGTGAGCGAGGCCATACAGCGGAATAACCTCAGGAGACAAAGGAATGGAGTTATGAGATTTTAAGGAAGGGTTTAGGTAGGTGAAATGTCAGTGAAACTGTTCTGATAGGGTCAAAAGCAATTATAGGGCCGCGTGTAAAGAGTTCAACATTAGGTCTGGACTGCAAAGGTCTTGGTAACTTGGGAACTACAAATTAAGGTAGATATTAAATGATGTATCCAGGAACCCCTGTGCCAGGTGTGAGATATGAGGCTGGTTCTCTATATCAAAGAGACCAGCCAAGAGAGGGGCATTTCATTCTTACTGATACATTTTCAAAGAACAAAGTGTCTCATAGTCTGATCTTAGAGTACAAAGTTTCTCATTGAGCAAATAAGAAACCAGTAGTTATCAAAGTCACTTTGACTTTGTGCCGTATTTCTTTGGTAGAGATATTGTCCCTTGTTACTGTTTAAGCTGACTTTAATGTGTGTGTGATATTTAAGCCCAGCAGACATTTAATTTCTCGTCGGAGGTCCGTTTTTGCCAGTCTAAATGAGCACATGACATTATGTTCATAGGTGGTATTAGATACGACTGTTATAGTTTTTGCATTTTCACAAAGTGCACTTGTTCCAACTAAATTTGGGGCTTGTAAAAGAAAGTTGCGAACAGGAGGGACCTACCATGATGATCTCCCAAAAGCCACAGGTAAGTTAACCATTTCTAAATCCCTTAAATGTCTAGGAGAGGGTTGCATTTAAAAGATTTTCCTAGGGGCTTCCCTCTGGGCGCAGTGGTTGAGAGTCCGTCTGCCGATGCAGGGGACACGGGTTCGTGCCCCGGTCCGGGAAGATCCCACATGCCGCGGAGCAGCTGGGCCCGTGAGCCATGGCCGCTGAGCCTGCGCGTCCGGAGCCTGTTCTCCACAACGGGAGAGGCCACACAGTGAGAGGCCCGCGTACCGCAAAAAAAAAAAAACAATTTTCCTAGTCTGCTGGTAAAAGTTCAATAGAAACGCACTGTCATAGGTTGCCGTTGGGAGTTTTCCAGTTAAGCTCTTGGTAAACAGCAGCACGTATGTGCCTAGAGCCCAAATGTGCTCATGCCCTTCATTTCGGTAATTGTTGAGGGGATGGTCTTTTCCATTTAAGATATTCTAATAGGTATGTAGTGATATTGCATTATGATTTTTTTTTTTTTTTTTTCCGGTACGCGGGCCTCTCACTCTTGTGGCCTCTCCCGTTGCGGAGCACAGGCTCCGGACGCGCAGGCCCAGTGGCCATGGCTCACGGGCCCAGCTGCTCCGCGGCATGTGGGATCTTCCCGGACCGGGGCACGAACCCGCGTCCCCTGCATCGGCAGGCAGACTCTCAACCACTGCGCCACCAGGGAAGCCCTGCATTGTGATATTTTTAAAAAATATGTATTTATTTATTTGGTTGCACCAGGTCTTAGTTGCGGCAGGTGGGTTCCTTAGTTGCAGCTTCAGGGCTCCTTAGTTGTGGCATGCATGTGGGATCTAGTTCCCTGACCAGGGATCAAACCCAGGCCCCCTGCATTCGGAGCAGGGAGTCTCTTATTCACTGCACCACCAGGGAAGTCCCCTGCATTGTAATCTTAATTTGCATTAACCTAATGACTAATAACGTAATAATGTTGAGCATCTTTTTATGTGTTCCTTTGCCATCGGTATGTCTTCACTGGTAGTGTCTGTTAAGACCTTCTGTCTGTTATTTAAATAAGTTATTTATTTTCTTATCGAATTTTGAAAATTGTTTATTTATTCTGGGTACAAGTCCTTAACAGATATGTGATTTGCAAATATTTTCTCCCAGTCTATGGCTTTTCTTTCCATTTTCTTAAAATTGTCTTTCAAAGGGAAGTTCTTACATTTGATGAAGTCTAATTTATCAATTTTTTTTTTTTTGGTGGTGGTGTATCTAAGCAAGATTACAAATATTCTTCTTTGTTTTCTTCTGAAAGTTTTAAAATTAGGTTTTAATTTTAGGTCTGTGGTCCATTTAGAATTCATTTTTGTATATGATGTGAGGTATGCATATGTATATACCATTGTTCCAGGACCAGCTGCTGAAAAGAATAGTTTTCATTTGAATTGCCTTTGCACCTTTGTCAAATACCAGTTGTCCATATTCGTGTAGGTCTGTTTCTGAACTTTCAGTTATATTCTACTGATGAATTTATCTATCTTGACACCAGTACCACACCATCTTGATTACTGTAGTTTTGCAATAAGTCTTGAAATCAAATAGTGTTAGTCTTTCAGCTTTATCTTCTTGTTTATCTAATTGTTGTAGGTGTTTAACTTATCCCAACAACGTTTTGTAGTTTTCACTGTCAGATGTTATCTTGTATCTTGTATTTTATATCTTGTTATCTTATATATCTCGTCAGATTAATTGCTAAGTATTTCATATTTTTTGATGGTATTGTAATTGGTATGATTTCTCAAATTTCAATTTCTGATTGTTCATTATTATTACAGAAATAAAATAGATTTTTCTCTAGCTTTATTGAAATATAATTGACAAATAAAAATTGTATACATTTAGGTGTGCCACATGATGTTTCGATATTATTACACATTGTGAAAAGATTACCACAATCAAACTAATTAAGATATCTGTCAACTCACAGAGTTACCATTTTGGGTGTGTGCAAGGTGAGAACACTTAAGATCTACTCTCTTAGCAAATTTCAAGTATACAATACATTATTGTTAACTATAGTCACCATGCTATCTGTTAGGTCTCCAAAACTTACTCATCGTATAACTGGAAGTTTGTACCCTTGGACCAACATCTCCTCATTTCCCCCACCCCCACAGCCCATGGTAGCCACCATTCTGCTCTCTGTTTCAACGAGTTCATCTTTTTTAGATTCCACACATGAGATCATGTGGTATTTATCCTTATGTGTTTGGCTTATTTCACTTAGCATAATGTCCTCCACGTTCATCCACATTGCTGTAAATGGCAGGATTTCCTTCTTTTCTAAGGTGGAAGAGTATTCCACTGTGTATGTGTACCATATTGTCTTTATCCAGTCATCTGTCAACAGACATTTAGGTTGTTTCCATGTCTTGGTTATCATAATAATGGTGCAATGAACACTGGAGTGCATATATCTCTTTGAGATACAGATTTTATTTCCTTCGCATATATACCCAGAAGATATATGCTAGATCGTATGGTAGTTCTATTTTTAATTTTTTGAGGAATCGCCATACTATTTTCCACAGTGACTGTATCAATTCACATTCCCACCAAAAGTGCACAAGGGTTCCCTTTTCTCCGCATACTTGCCAGCCCCTATTATTTCTTATCTTTTTTATAATAGCCACCTTAACAGGGGTAAGGTGATATTTCACTGTGGTTTTGCTTTGCATTTCCCTGATGATTAATGACATTAAGCACCTTTTCATATAACTGTTGGCCATTTGTATGTTTTCTTTGGAAAAATAAGGTCAGGTCCTTTGCTCATTTTTAGATTATTTGGTTTTGTGCTATTGAGTTGTATGAGTTCCTTATATATTTGTATGTTAATCTCTCTTTAAAGAGATTTGGTTTATGGTTTACAAATATTTTCTTCCCTTCTGTAGGTTGCCTTTTTGTTTTGTTGATAGTTTCCTTTGCTGTGGCAGAAACTTTTTAGTTTGATGCAGTTCACTTGTTTATTTTTGCTTTTGTTGTCTGTGCTTTTGGTGTCATATCCAAAAATATCATTGCCAAGACCAATGTCAATGAGCTTTTCCCCTACATTTTCTTCTATTAGTTTTTCAGTTTCAGGATTTACATTTAAGTCTTTAATTTAGTTTCAGTTAATTTTTGTGTATACAGTAAGATAAGGGTCCAATTTTATTTTTTGCATGTGAATATCCTGTTTTCCCAACACCATATATTGAAGAGACTATTCTTTCCCCATTGTGTGTTCTTGATGCCTATGTCAAAGATTAGTTGTTGATATATGGGTGGTTTTATTTCTAGGCTTTCAATACTGTTCTGTTGGTCTATCTGTTTTTATGCCAGTACTATATTGTTTTGATTACTATAGCTTTGTAATATAACTTTAAATCAAGAATTGTGATGTCTTCAGCTTTTGTTCTTCTTTCTCAAGATTTCTTTGGCTATTCAGTGGCTTTTGTGGTTCCATAGGAATTTTAGGATTGTTTGTTCTATTTCATGAAAATGCCATTGGGATTTTGATAGAGATTATAATTGAATCTGTAGATCATTTAAGGACATTTTAACAATATTATTCTTACAATCTATGAACAGACCAGTGGGGGTGTCCTATTTGTGGGGGTCTGCATGTGAGGTGTCCCAGGGGGCTGGTGGGCAGGCCTCCTGGTGGAGTCTGTCAGTCAGTAGGATCCTCAGCCCTTTGTTGAGTCTGGGTCCTGGTTTCTGTAATTCCCATCTCTCTTCCCTGCACCCAGCCTCTCCCCTATCTAGCCATGTCAAATACCTCGGGATTCTGGGTAGGCAAGAAAGAAGTGGACCTCTTAGGCAGCGTTCAGCATGGCTTGGGTGGACCAGCTCATTCACTACCTCTCACTT